CCTTGTCCTACCTGCAAATCCTCTTTTGTTCCTCCGTTAAATTCCATGCTATAATTATGTATTGTGGTGTTTATGTGGATATGAATTAATGTCTATATATGAATGTATGAATATGAATGATGAGTAAAGTGACATAAGGAACATGTGATGTGTGAAAGTATGCAGTCATGTGAATATAATGCATTGAGTCTGTTTGACATGCATCATATATATAAAATATTTTTGTAAGGATACAATATGGAATACATCATCAGAGAAGGTCCATTGTGTAAAAGCTTGGGAACTAACCTTGGAGATAGCTTGATTTGGAAGTCTCAGTCCTATCCTTGTGAGCATGAGATGTATCTTGCACAACTTAGTTATCCCAACCAGATCTTGATAGTATATCCTTCTAGTGAGAATGCGCAAAGGGTGTGATCCAATATGTATTCCTAGACCACTTAGAAGTATTCAATTAAGACAATCATGATTTTTTTTAGAAGTATGTCAAAATTTGCTGGTATTCAATTAAAGTTTTCTTTTCACTTTAAAAAGTCTATTAGTATTAAAAACATATAGAAATTTCATTGGATTATTTTGAATGATGGATTTTGTGAGACATTTTAGTAGAATATACATTTAAGTCACTCATCCAACAATCTCACAAACTTTGAGATTTTGCATGAATTTTTTCTCTTATTTATTTTCCTCTTTTTTTTTCTTGCTCGCCTTTTTTGTTTCTCTATCTTTTTCCTTTCTCGTTCTCTTTATCATCTTCTCTTTTCTCTCTCTTTCATATCTCATCTTTTCTTTTTTCTCTACCTTTTTCCTCTCTCTCTCTCACTCTCTCTATCTCTCTATCTATCTATTCTCATGTCTTTTCTATATCATATTCTCCTTTTCTTTTTCTCACCTTTCTCATTTATTTTTTCTTTTTATTTTCTCCATTTTTCTCCTATTTTTTTTACATATCAGTATTTTTTTTGTTACATTTTCATTTATCAATATTGATGTAAAATTTATTAATATTTATTTAAATTATTAAAAAATTTAAATATGTTTTTAGTCCCTGAAATGTAAGATAAATTTGTTTTTAGTCTCTTAAATTTAAAACTAATCATTTTAGTCTCTGTAATTTTAAAAATCTTATTTTAGTTCTTATACTTAACTTTTGTTAGAAAATATGTCAAATACTGTCAAATATTGTCACTTAAAATTTACGTACTGGTATCCTTATTAGTGAAAACATTATATTAAATCCAACTGATGGTGTATAACTATCTCAATTTATCACTTTTAAATATGTTATTAGTGGCATGAAGAATTAAAACAAGATTTTTAAAAATTACAAGAACTAAAAACAATAAATTTAAATTTGAGGGATAAAAAGTAAACATATCATAAATTTGAGGAACTAAAAATATATTTAAGACAATTTAAATTATTGAATTGTTAAATATTATATTATTAAAATTTCCAAGTTATTAAAATTTAACAAATTTTTATTTTCATTAAAATTTAATATTAAAATATTAATTTTTTAAACATGTATTTATTGAATACTGCAGAATATGATAAAATTGAAAGAAGAAGAAGACTCTATGAATACTTCTAATATTGCTTACTGTTCTTGTGAAGGAGTACAACTATATATACATATATATCAATGACCTGCAATAATAGGTAGACAAGTTATAATAACCTGTTATCAACAGTAACGTAAAACTAACTAATCTATATTAATCCAATACCCCCTCTCAAGATGGGAGAAAAATGTTTTCGATGCCCAGCTTGGACAAGATGCTAAGAAAAGCATTGCGAGGTAATGACTTAGTGAATATGTCGGCCATCTGATGATGATTTCTGACATGAATTAACTTGAGTGCACCTCTTTCTACTTGCTCCCTGACATAGTGAAGATCAATTTCTAGATGTTTGGTTCTTTCATGGTATGTAGGGTTGGTTGCAATATGTATTGTTGCCTTGTTGTCACAGTACACAGCTGCATATGGTGTGACAATATTGAAATCAGTTAATAAATTTCTCAACCAAGTAAGTTTAATAGAGACTGATGCTAAGGATTTATATTCTGCTTCTGCTGAAGATTTGCTGGCTGTCTTCTGTCTCTTAGCCTTCTAGGAAATTAAGGAATTTCCTAAGAAAATACAAAAACCTGTTGTTGATCTTCGGCTATCAATGCATGAACCCCAATCAGCATCCACATAAGCATGTAGTTTTGTGTCAGAGGTAGCTTTGAACAGGATGCCTTGACCAGCAGTATGTTTTAAGTATCGTAGAAGCATGTGAGCTGCATTCATGTGTTCAGAATGTGGATTTGATACAAATTGACTTAATTTGTGTATAGTATAGCAAATGTCAAGTCAAGAAATTGTTAAATACAATAATCTTCCCACGATCCTTCTATATGATCCTTGATCTGCAAGTGGAGAACCTGAGTCTGTATGCAGTTTCAAATTTGCTTCCATAGGTATAGTTGAAGGCTTGCAAGCAAGCATACCACAATCTTCAAGAATAGACATTGTATAATGTCTTTGACACATTCCTGCTTGTGACTGGAAATTCCAAACCAAGGAAAAATTTCAAATCTCCTAGATCCTTCAATATAAAATGATCATGTAACATGATCTTAGCAGATTTGATTTCAATGTTACTTGGGCTGGCAATTACTATGTCATCTACATAGACAAGAATGGCTATGAATGTCGAGTTGGATCCCTTAGTGAACAAGGTGTAATCAAACTTGATTGTTTGAAACCTTGAGAAATTAGTGTGGTGCTGAATTTGGTAAACCAGCTTCTAGATGCCTGTTTCAAGCCATATATTGACCTATTTAATTTGCATACTAAAGGGGCTGCAGATGTGGGAATGGTGCTATGGCTGTATCCTGGAGGGATTTGCATAAAAATTTCCTCATCTAAGTTGCCATTGAGAAAAGCATTATTAACATCTAGTTGAGCTAGATTCCAATGTTGTGATGCAGTAAGTGATAAGAGGAGCCTCAGGGTGGTGATCTTGGCCACAGGTGAAAACGTCTCTTGGAAATCTAGACCATGTTGTTGAGTGAAGCCTCGTGCTACCAGCCTAGCCTTGTGTTTGGCTATAGTTCCATCAGAGTTGAGTTTTAACTTGAATAGCCACTTGCAACTTATTTGCTTTTTATCATTTGGTAGATGAGTGATGGACCATGTGTTGTTTATCTCCATGGCAGTGAGTTCATCTTCTATAGCTTGCTTCCAATGAGGGAATTTGATGGCTTGTTTATAGGTTTGAGGTTCATGATTAGCAAAAATTTGGCAGATGTAATGATTGTGTGTTTTGGAGAGCTTTGAGTAATCTATGAATTTTTGGATAGGGTATAATGTTTGTGTGTTAGTGGTTACATTGTAGCAATGATAATCAGATAAGTATCCTGGTGGATTAACAGCTCTATTAGATCTACGAATTGGGGCTTGATCTGGTTCGTTTGGGGGAGACAACTGTTGTATGGTAAACTGGTTTTGTGTATGTGTGGGTTGTATAGGATCAGAATCATCAAAGGTTGCAGGATGGTTAAGATTGGGTGTGATTTGGTCGTTGAAGACACCATGGCCACGGTCAGATGAGTTGCTGTTTTGGAAAGGGAATATATGCTCATAAAACTTAACATCTTTAGAGATGAAAGTTTGATGAGTGGTCAGGTCAAATAGCTTGTATCCTTTGTAGCCATGAGGGTATCCGATGAATACAGCTGCAATAGCCCTGGGACTAAATTTGTGTCTACCAGAAAGTAATGTAGAGGCATAACATAATGTGCCAAAGGTCCTGAAATCAGAATAGTTAGGCACCTTGTTATATAAGATTTCATATGGGGATATGTGATTCAGAATAGGACTTGGAGTTCTATTCATGATAAACACAACAGTTTTAACATAATCTCCCCATATTTTTATAGGAACATTTGATTGAAACATCAAAGTGCGTGCAATATTTAGAATATGCAAATGTTTTCTCTCAACAACACTATTTTGTTTCGGCCTTTCTACACATAAAAATTGGTGTAGAACACCTTTTTCTAAGAAAAAATCTTTGAAATGAAGTTCTCTAACATTGTCAGACCTAAAGCTTTTAATTTTTGTTTGAAATTGGTTTTCAACATATGCAAAGATTTGAGGTATGTTTTTAATACAATCAGACTTATTCTGGAGCATGTATATCCATGTGAATCTGCTTTTATCATCTACCAGAGTTAGAAAATATCGAAATCCATCATAAGTAGGTTGTTTAAAGGGTCCCCATATATCAGCATGAATTAAATCAAAACAACTGGGACTGAATTTATTAGGATTAGGAAAAGGTAATCTATTTTGCTTAGCAATGTTACAAGTACTACAATGATAAGTAGAATCAATAGAACTCAGTTTGATTTTATTGGCAATCAATTTGTAAACTGATATAGGTATGTGACCTAATCTCTTATGCCAAGTCTCATAGGTAACACTATTACAATTACTAATACAATCAGAATTAAAATTGCGTTTAGGGAATTCAAAAACCAGTAGACCCTGTTGTTGCTTAGTAGTGCCAATCGTCCTTAATGTTTTGAGGTCCTGCAAAAGAAAACTGTTAGACTCCATAGTAAATCTAAATGGGTTATTATTTATTAAAGTGAGAAGTGATAAAAGATTGAATCTAAACATAGGTATATACAACACATTATGCAGAAAAATATCATCATTTATCTTGATACTACCTATCCCTTCTACATTTACTTTAGTGGAATTAGGCAATGAAACATCAGAATTATGGATAGGAGTGTATGAATTGTATAGTTGTTTGGAACAACAAATGTGAGAAGTGGCGCCAGAGTCTATTATCCATGTGTGAGAATTCTCATGGAAATCAGGATTCATACAGGTACCTATGACATTGGAAGCCATTGCATCCAGATTAGTGTCTGGTTTCATTTGGTTTGTCAAAAATGTAAGTAATTGCTGGCACTAAGCAGGGGTCAAATTTGATCTCTAATTAGTGGTGGAACTTTTAGGGCTATTATCCACTTGATTCACAGTATTGGTAGTCCTGTTCTTGAAATAATTTGGGGGATACCCGAAACGTTTATAACACCTGTCTTTGGTATGTCCTAAGATCGCACAATGACCACATTTTGGTCTCTCTTTCTTTACAAATTTGTTCTTACTGTTATCAAATTGATGTTTTTGTGAAGAATTAACAGAAAAGGCTATGTTTTTCGAGTTAGCATTAGAAGGAGTAACAATAATTTCTCGTTGAGCTTCTTCTCGAAGAATTAGGGAGAAGACATTACCAATCGAAGGTAAAGGGTCAAATAGCAGAATTTGGCCACAGATTTGAGAGAAAGAATCATTTAAGCCCATCAAGAAGGACATGACATATTCAAATTTTGTGTGTGCTTGGAGTTGTTGAAGGCCACCACATGTACAGGGGAATGTTGGTTTGTAACCGGACAATTCCTCCCAGATTGACTTCAACTTTGTATAATACGTTCCAACATCATCAGGTCCTTGCTGAAGAGACATCAATTGGCGCCGAAGTTGGAAAATGCGTGGTCCATTCTTTCTTGAAAATCTGGTTTTCAAGTCTTTCCAAATTTCTTGCGCAGTTGTGGCAAACAAGATGCTCGTGATGATTTCTTTGGAAACAAAGTTGTAAAGCCATGAGATGACCACGTTGTTCGCACGATTCCAAGTCGCGATTGTGGCGTCGGTTGCTACAGGTTTAGGGAGGGTTCCATCAATGAACAGTAATTTGTTCTTCACGGAGAGTGCTACCTGCATCGCTCTGCTCCAGGTTGTATAATTCTTGTGGTCAAGAGGTTGAGACGTGAGAACCAGTCCAGGTCCATCCGAATGATGCAAAAAAAGGGGTGAGTGGGATCTTGGCTTGGATCTTTAGATTGATTCGTCATGGCTATGGGAAAATTGATTTAAGGTTGCGGAAATGGCAGATTTGGTTGAAAGAAGATGAATGGGAATCACAAGTTGAATCGTTCTAAGAGCTGAATTCTCTCTTTTGATACCATATTGAATATTGAAGAATATGATAAAATTGAAAGAAGAAGAAGACTCTGTGAATACTTCTATATTGCTTACTGTTCTTGTGAAAGTGTACAACTATATATACATATATATCAGTGACCTGCAATAATAGGTAGACAAGCTATAATAACTTGTTATCAGCAGTAACCTAAAACTAACTAATCTATATTAATCCAATAGTATTAAAAATATATTTTGACAATCCTACCAGTTAATGAATATTGTAAATTTAAACATATTGTTCAAATTTAATATTATGAATGAGAAAATATAAATACATAGAAGGTTATATATAGAGAAATATTATTTAAGAGGACATGAAACTAGAATCAAATTTTTTTTTATTCAAACCTTGTCATTGATTTTTTTTTATATATTAATTGTATTATTTTTTTTAAATCTATATTGTTCTTTGATATCTAATAAAATCCTCTAAAATTTTATAAATTTAAGATACAAATCCATTAAAATTTAAATTACAAAATCTTGATTAAAAAGTTTGTTAAAAATATCTTAAAAATTATTACATTCCAAAACAATCTTTTGAAAAAATCTTAAAATTTATTGAATTCCTACAAAGTCTTTTAAATTTCACTATTTTTTTTTGTGATAAAAAAAATCTTACGAAATCTCAATTCAATACATCACTATATGTAAGTCTAAAAATTTATACAAAATTTTATAGTTTTAATAAATTTTTGTATGATGCAAAATTAATTAATTCAACCATTAAATTATGTGATGTTATACTCAAGGTCATGTATATCAAATTTCACATAAGTCCAAAATTATTTAATAGTTCATCACATTGTTTTAATTACTTTAACATACAATATCATATTTGAAATATATGTAAATATTTCTTTTTAGATAACATATTTAAAAAAGTTCAAATTATGTAAAATTTGATATACATAATCTTCAGTATAATATTACATAACTTAATAATTTGATAAGATAAATAAAAATTTTAAATATATAAGATTTTGTGTAAATTTTAAGAGTTGTTAGTTAATATTTTTTAAAGTATTAGTTAAAGAATAAAAAATAAAATACATAGTTTTTTGAAAACTATATTTATTAATTTTCCCTATATATAAGTTAGAAAAGTTATCTTAAAAGATAAAGTTGGATCATTCTTAAATGATAACATTTTTAATTTATTTTTTTTTAACAATAGCATTTTTATGAAAGTTTTTAAATTTTTTTTTATCAATTTTAATCTATATTTTATTTTAAATTTTATTAATTTTTTTTAAAAATAACTTTGTATTAATAACTCGATCTTAATGGCTTAGATATGAATATGAACTTCATGCAGCAAAATTGGAAACAATTAATGATGGCCTTGCTGTCTTGGAACTGAAACTCCTTCAAGTTATGGTTAGGCAGATGATAAACACACCTCCACTCTCATATAAACACACCTCCTTTTTAATAAAAAAAATATAAAATATCTAAATTACCCTTAAAAAAATTTCTTAAATTTACACTCTCTTCCCCGCACCCCCTTTCCCGCACCCTCCTTCCCCTCACCCCACACCCCCCTTCCCCGCACCCTCACACCCCACACCAGCTCATGATTCTAGTTACACGCCACAGGCAAGGGGAATGGTGGAGGTGAGCGTTGGAGGAGACGAACTTCCTGAGAATGAAAAGGGCGTCGTGGGCGGAGAGGCTCTAGAGGGACTTGCGGGGGGGCTCCCAGGCGGAGAGGGCGTCGCCGGAGATTCTGAAGGCAAGGGGACTCTCGGTCCTTCGCCAGGCACTTAGCGATGTAGTCCTTGGAGTCTCCGAGGTGCCAGGTGCGGGAGTCGATCTTCACGTCCATGACGGAGGGTTTGGCGTAGCCGCGGAGGAGGTCCTCCAGGGCCAGGTGGGGGTGGGGGTTGGAGCCGTCGGAGGCCTCCACCACTTTGGTGCCGTGGAAGGCGGGGG